CTTCCCTTCCACTGCAGGGCTCAGGGCCTCATTTCCCTGGTTTTCCCTCACTCAGGCTAAGAGCTTCCTGGTCTGGGAAGAGAAAGAGCTCCAAGACTTCCCTGGAGTGAGACAGCTGGAGTAGGGCTGTGAAACCTGGAGGAGCTCTGAGCCCACCGTCTTCATGGTGCTGCTACTCTTTGCCTCTAAAAAATTGATGACAACTCACTTTGTGCTGGCTGCCTTGGCAAAGGGACAAATGTCACACAGAGTCCTGGGGACAGCTGTGGGAACACACCAGGCTCTCAGGGAGCTGTGCAACAGCAGCAGTCCCCTGCACTGGATCAGGAACAGTGGCATGGGACAGTTGGCAGCTCAGCACTTCCTCCAAGCCCTGCAGCTCCACCAGGACCATGGCACGTGGTGCCAGGAGGAAAAGATGCCATGGATGGGGACAGATCACCTGGCTGCTTGCCCACAGCAGTAACAGCACCAGTGCTGGAGGCAGTTCCACAGCAGGGATTCCATACCCAGCCATGCAGGAAGAACCTCCACACCAACAGAGACCACTCAGAGGGGAAATACTATACTTTGAATAACTTCCATGAAAACAGTTCCCTTAAAAAACTTCTTTACAACCAAACCCAAAACACAAGGCAGAGTGCAGCAGAGTCATGTGCCACCTCCACCAACCAGATGGTGCCAGCGAGGTTCCCATGCCTGGTGGCTCCAGCTCACTTGGCACCTTCCACCCGGGCCTGTGTGCTCTGCAGGGTGGCTGCTGGGCTGGCAGCTCCCTGAGCATCCCCACGAGGAGCCAAGGGTCAGGCAGGAACTGAGCTGCAGGCAGGGCTGAGCCTGTCACAGGAACTGAGACGCTGCTGCCAGCACAGGGTGGGCAGCCAAGGAGCACAATGAGATAAGGGCACGGGGGGAAGGAGGCAGGAATGCTGCATTTCTCCTGGCACCATGGGAATAGGCTATTCCAACCATGGATCACAGGGAGGCTGTCTGACAGGGAGAACGCCAGGAGCACAGAGAGGAAAAGCAGTGAGTAAGCAATGAAGAAGAAAACAGAGGGGAATCAGCGTGAACAGTGGTGAGTATGGGGGGAAAGCAAACCCAGGAACAAACAGAAGGAAAACCAGAGCTAGAGCTAAAAAGGAAAAGGAAGGGATTCTAAAAAGGATTTCAGAAGGACAAACCTGCAGGGCTGAAAGTCCCAATGAGCAACGGAGCTGAGAGGATGCAAGAGGGAACAGAGGCTCCCTCTGTGAGCTCTGCTCACACAAGGGCAAACCAGGGATCACAGCCCCTCCATTGGACTAAACCTCACTTAAGAGGGAAGATAAATGTGGGGCACATCTCAGGTAACAGGCACTGGAGGAGGCCTCTGCTCACTCTAAGTGGGGAGAACAGGGATTGCTGGAGTTTTGACATTGCTGTAGGAAATTGTGAGGACTCCATGGCAATCACCAGCTTTCATTTTCACCCCACCAGCAGAATGTGGTGGGCTTCAAGCCAAGAGTGCTTTAGTAGCCTTGTGCTATTTAGGCTTGGGAGCTAGATTAGGACCAGAGATCACAGAAAGCAGAGCTTTAATAAACAAAATCCCAAATACTTCCTTGCCTAAGTTACTTTTGCCTCATTTGGAGCAGAAGCTGCCTTGGTGACCCAGCGCACACCGTCCAGCAAAGAGGAGAAGGGAATCAGCAAACCTGGGCAAAACCTGACATGTGCAGCCCCCAGGTTTCTCCCAAAGACTGGGAAAGCTCCTCTCCAGCACCTCTGACAGCAGGACACCAGCACAGGGAGCCATGGGCTGAGGTGATCCAGCACATTCACAGGCCCGAACACTGGGGACTTTGTGGCACTGGCTTTAAAAAAAATACCCTAAAAAAGGCCTAATAATGAAGTATTTATTTCAGCAAACAACGTATGAATGAAAGAAGTGTTTTCTCAATACTTCACTTTTTCTCTGCCTTCTCTCCCTTCCCCCAGCAATTTTGTTTTTAATAAGTGGAACTAACAGGGCTTCGCTCGCTGCTGGCCGGGTTGGGAGCAGGGCCGGCTGCAGCACAGGGACACGTGCCATGGCAATAGAGCTGCCTTGTGCCACCAGTGTCCCCTGAGCCAGGGACATGGGCTCTGATGGACACACACACTGCCTTGGGAGCACCCTGGGCTGGGCAGCAGCAAAGAACATCCAGCCCCTCGCTTGTTGTGGCAGCAAGAACTGCAGCTCCTCCTGGCCTGGGGCTCCTGGCACTGGAGAAGGGCCACGAGGAGGTGAAGGATCTGTGTCCTGTCCTACCTGGCTGTGCTCAGAGCAGGAACACAGTGTTAGGCTCCTTCACTTCTACCTCAGCTCCATCCACCCCTACCTGAGCATCTGAATAACTGGGAACACTGGAAAACTGGCTCAGCTTGCCCCATGTGGGGATGGGTTGCACTGACAATGCCTTGGTGGGAATTTCAAGCAGGAAACTCTGATCCCTGTCCCAGACTGACACCCAGCTTTTCAAAGCAAAGAGCACAGATGATGTCATGCTTTTCTACCTCCTCCTTGGCAACAGGCAACAGCAGGTTGAGAAGCTGTCCTTTGCCTTCAAGCCTTGAGGTAAGGATGGGCAGGATTCTCAGAAGCTGCTGCTTTGGGAAAACATGGTCCATTGCTCTTCCATGCCACTGCTGCCCATGTGGGATGAGCTGAACCCATCACACACAGGGTGGGGGCTCACCTCTGTGCAGAGGCAGGTGAAAGGATGCAGTGGGAACCCTGGGCTGTAAATACAGACAGATTTCATGGGGGTAGGTATTTGCTCTGAAAGACAAGTTAGGCATCTGTAGATTTGCCAGGATATGAGCCAAGTTTCCCAGCCAGGGCACTGAAGAGCAGCCTCACGTGCAGCCCAGGATGGTCTGAGTGACTAACTGAGGGTGCTGATCCTGCTGTGATGAGCAGAGATCCCTGGTGGTGTACAGGGAACACAGAAAAGCTGTTTCACACCAAGGAAAAGGCCAGGTCACGGCTGCAGAGAAGGCTGGGACAATCTCTGAATGTCTTTCTGAGGCCCTGTGCACATGAGATGGATGGGAGCAGGCAGCAGGCAGGGTCCTCAGCCCCCTGCCACCCCTCACCACTGTGCCCCTCTGGGGTGGCCCCTCCTCTGTGCCCTGCCAGCCCTGAGCTCCAGCAGCCTGAGCCACCCATCCTGGCTGCCCTGCTGGTGTCTGATCCAGCCCAAGGTATCTCCAAGCCCTGGAGAAAACCCCAGCACAGGGTGGGAGTCCTGCCTGGCTGTGCCTGTGTCCTGCAGGATGGGGACATCAGGGCTGTGTCCCTCAGCCCCAGGAGGGCCCACAGCACCTCCAAGGCAAAGGCAAAGGCAGCCCCTCCTCAGGCACAGCTCCTTCCCAGGCTGAATTGCTCTAAAAGAGCATCGTCTGCCACTGCTGCGAGTCCTCGCTGCACAAGGTGCTGTGCCAAATGCAAGACAGATGGTTTCCCCCAGGAAAATGCTGTGGAGTGGGGGAAATGTACCACAAATATCCCCCAACAGGGCTAAACTGGGACCCGGGGGCTTCAAAGACACATTTAGAGAGGAAAGAGATTTGCTGGCTTCTCATGCTCCTTTGTTATGAATAAAGACAAACTCTGATGGTTTTTAATGAGCTCTCTGTTGTTTCCCTGTTTGCTACATTACAAATTCACATATTTGTCTCTTTGGGATATTGAGAGTAATTGCAGACCAGGTTTCCTCATGACATCCTCTTAGCAAAGGGAAGAAAGTTGTGTAAGTGGAGAGGAAAGCAGCCTGTTCCCAAATATCCTGAATTCTTTGGTTCATTAATATCTGGTGAGCTTTGATGCTCAAGGAACCTCAGATAAAGGAAGCCTTTGAGGAGGGTTCCACAGCCTCACACTGAAGTGCTAGAACACACAATAAATGCCAGAAAGATCTCCAAAAAAAGCAGGGAAATTGAAAACCAAATTCAACATTCTTGCAATTTCCAAGCACTTTTCTTTTTTCTTTTTTTTTTTCCTTTTTTTTTTTAAGTTTTACCCTCCTTTATCCATCTAAGGAAGCAGAAAGCAATGCAATTTCCAGCTCTTTTAAATATCCTTAGCAGGTCACCTCTAAGGCTGTGGGGAAGGGAAGGTTTGGGAAGGGAAGGTTTGGGAAGGGAAGGTTTGGGAAGGGAAGGGAAGGTTTGGGAAGGTTTGGGAAGGGAAGGGAAGGGAAGGTTTGGGAAGGTTTGGGAAGGTTTGGGAAGGTTTGGGAAGGTTTGGGAAGGTTTGGGAAGGTTTGGGAAGGGAAGGGAAGGTTTGGGAAGGTTTGGGAAGGTTTGGGAAGGTTTGGGAAGGTTTGGGAAGGGAAGGTTTGGGAAGGTTTGGGAAGGTTTGGGAAGGGAAGGTTTGGGAAGGTTTGGGAAGGTTTGGGAAGGTTTGGGAAGGGAAGGGAAGGTTTGGGAAGGTTTGGGAAGGTTTGGGAAGGTTTGGGAAGGGAAGGTTTGGGAAGGGAAGGGAAGGTTTGGGAAGGGAAGGTTTGGGAAGGGAAGGTTTGGGAAGGTTTGGGAAGGTTTGGGAAGGTTTGGGAAGGGAAGGTTTGGGAAGGTTTGGGAAGGTTTGGGAAGGTTTGGGAAGGGAAGGTTTGGGAAGGTTTGGGAAGGTTTGGGAAGGTTTGGGAAGGGAAGGGAAGGGAAGGGAAGGGAAGGAAAGGAAAGGAAAGGAAAGGAAAGGAAAGGAAAGGAAAGGAAAGGAAAGGGGCAGTGGTGGGTGTTGCCAGAGGCTCTGTACTCCTGTGCAGACACTCCCTTTACCCACACGAGCCCTGACAGACCCTCAGCTGGGGGTTGGCCCTCGTTTGATACCTTGGGGGGCTCTGTAGCAGGTGCAGGGGTTTGGGGGGTCGTTGTCCCATGGGACATCGCTCTGACCATGGCAGCAGTGGGACAAGGGGACAGGAGGTGACTGGAGAGGCAGAAGCTTTGTCCCAGCCCTGTCCTGCAGCTCTTACCATTCAATGCTCAGAGACCTGGGCCGGAAGGCAGACAGCTCGGCCGAGCCATACTCAGCTTTCCTTCTCTTCTCCTGCTTCTGCTTCACCGACAAGCGGTGGGCAAACCTAGCGAGGCTGCTCTCCGACCTGGGGAGGGGAGAGGAGAGGTGTTAATGGCCCTGCAGCCCTGGGCACACCGGGGCACAGCCAGGAGTGCTCAGTGCTGAAAGGAGGGGGCTCCCAGGGCGGGCACCAGCCCTGGGGGTGGCAGTGCAGGAGCAGCAGAGCAGCACGGTTGTATTGCTCAGCAGGCCAGGACCAGCACAGGCCCGTGTCAGCCAAAGTGGAGCTGCAGCCTGGCAGGCTGAGAGAGCCAGGCCCTGCTCCCTGTGCAGCCAAATCACCTCCCCAGGCTGTGCATTCCTCCCCAAGCTCCAACAGGTGACAGCCAGCACCAAGAAACAGCCAGGGACAGTCAGTGGAGAGAAGCAAAGCAACTGAATCAAAGGCCACACGCTCCTTCAGAGGAACCCTGGAGCCCCTGTGGCCTCCCAAGCACCAGAACAGCTTCCCTGAGCAGGGCTGACATGGAAATCAGCCCACATCGGAGAGGCTCTGGAGACAGAAACAGAAACGTGTGGGAGCAAATGGATTCAAGTGAAGGACCTGTCTGTGCTGACAAAGCCCCTTCCCCGCAGGTGGGCGGCACTGCCAGCCCCTGGCACCTGGGAAAGGCACATCCACAGGCTCTGGAACTGCTGCACATCCCAGCCCATGCCAGCCCTGTGCAGGAGAGCTGCTGGCCCAGGGCACACCTGCCCTGTGTCCAAGCCCATGGCACAGGGCTCACAGGCTGAGACAGGCTGGGGAGGCACCTGCCCCACAGAGACCCTCAGCCTCCTCTGGCACACGGAGCTCCCAGAGCCCCCCATGCCGAGGGTGGCACCCCCAGAGCCCCCGTGCCAAGGGTGGCACCCCCAGAGCCCCCCGTGACAAGGGTGGCACCCCCAGAGTCCCTGTGCCAAGGGTGGCACCCCCAGAGCCCCCTTGCTGAGGGTGGCACCCCCAGGGCACTCGTGCCGACGGTGGCACCCCCAGGGCACCCCCAGAGCCCCCGTGCCAAGGGTGGCACCCCCAGGGCCCCCATGCTGAGGGTGGCACCCCCAGAGCCCAGGCTGGGCACGGGGCACAGCCTGTCCCTGCTGCCAGCCCAGAGCAAGGCAGGACAAGCCCGGGGAGCCGGGACACCCAGACTTGGGTACGCGACCAGGCACGGGGCCGAGTGCCAGCCCTGCCACACACACGGACACAGGCACTGCCTCCCGTCCGTCAGTGTGCCAGCACAACCTGCACCCACCGCTCAGCCAGCCCGGGCTGGGCATGGAAGGGACAGGAGGGATTTGACAGAGGTGCCAGGGGATGAAGGACAGAGCTGGGGGGAACTTTGAACCTACACACATTGCTAAAGCCAAACCTCCTCTCCTCTCCTCCTCTCCTCTCCTCTCCTCTCCTCTCCTCTCCTCACAAAATTCCTCCAAAGAAAGAGAAAACGAGAAGCTGTTTCTCAGAACTGAGAGCTCCCTGCCTTTCCACACAGTAATTAGGCCAGCCCCGACCAGCTAACAGTTTTTTCTCTGATACATTTTAAACACAGACATCTTCAATTCATTAACTGGTTATTGATTTATTTTTCAGCTTATGAATTGCTGTTGCTGGGGATGGTGTGGAGACAGTTTTCTGGAGAGGGCTCTTGTCTCTCCAGTCCCTGCCAGCAAAGAGCTGTTCAGACCTTCCAGGGCAATTCTTTACATTCTTCAGAAAAAATCCTACTTTGATGTAAAGGATGAGGTTTGCCTTAAAAGAAACCCAACAAGAAACCCAAACCCTAACTTCCCCCACTCACAGCCGGAGGAAGAGGATGAAGAGGAGTGATCCTGGTGCCCACAGAGCAGAGCCTGGCAGCAGCCCCATCCCCACCACCTCATCCCCTTTCATCTGGTGTCAGAGCTCACTGGGATGGAGCAGATCCCATTTGGGGAGGGGTGAGAGCTGGGCACTGCCAGCCAAGGCTCTGCAGCAGCCCCAGGCATGGTGCGCACACCAGGACGAGCAGGGCTGGCCCAGCAATGGGGCTGGCAGTGGGAGCAGGGGCTGCTGGCTCCCTACAGCACCTCCTCAGTGGCATTTGGCTGCTCCTAACCCTCCCCACCTGCCAGAGGAGCTCCTGCCAGCCTGCAGGGCTGAGGGCTCCAGCCCCAGCTGAGAGAACACTGGGGGTGTTTATGTGGGGCCTGCCTGCAGAATCCTGCCCTGCCTGCTGTGCTGAGCCCACCTGCAGCACACTCCCTGCAGGATTCCAGCCACCCCTCCCACCCTGCAGGGAGAGGGGCTGGGAAGGCCTCGGTGCCCTGCCCAGATGCAGGAAGGCAGCAGCCCCTGCCACAAGTGCCTCTGTGGTGCTGCTGCATGGCCCTGGCAATGACCACCACGGGGACAATCACACACCCAGGGGCTTTACCTGGATCTATCCACCTGCCCAAGCACGGCAGGAGCAGCCACTGCATCCTTCAGATTGGATAAAACCAAAGAAGAGCTGGTGGGTGAAAACAGGGCCATGTGCCCCATGTCATCAGGGTTAAGGATGAAGGATGGTTAGTCCTGGGGGCAGGGTGGGCTGGTGGGGCTGGAGAGGCCACCAGGGTGCTCAGGAACATGAGGCCTTGCTGTGAGGCCCCAGTGATGGCATCAAGGGAAGGCACAGGGACACAGGCCATGGATGCTTTCCAGCCCAGGGCAGGGGGTGCCCAGACCTGCCTGAGGCAGGACAGACAAGCCAGTCCATGTGTGGGTCAGAAGCTGACCAAGAACCCTGGAGTGCTGACTGCATCCCCCAGACCTGCTGGCCACCACCTCCAGCTGCTACAAGCCAGGTACAGGAATGGCTGTGACAGCCCTGACAGCCCAACAGCTCCCCTGAGAGCTGTCAGCAACTCCCCCAGCCATGAACCAGCCTCCCTCACCTCCGCCAGACCCCAGAGCTCCAGCAGAAGCATCACTAATTAGAAGCCAGGAGCACATTACAGATCATCTGGCGATTGATACAGAGCTGCTTTACATAAACCCTGCTGCAGAAGGGAATGAATCATACCTGCTCTGCCAGGGCCCTGCTGGTGGGGCAGCTCCCAGCCCCTGTGCTGAGCTGCCCCCATCCCCTGGGGTCAGAGTGCTCCCAGGATGCTGTGCCCAGGGCTGGGATGCTGTGCCCAGGGCTGGGGGCTCCCAGGATGCTGTGCCCAGGGATGCTCCCAGGATGCTGTGCCCAGGGCTGGGATGTTCCCAGGATGCTGTGCCCAGGGCTGGGATGCTTCCAGGATGCTGTGCCCAGGGATGCTCCCAGGATGGTGTGCCCAGGGATGCTCCCAGGATGCTGTGCCCAGGGATGCTCCCAGGATGGTGTGCCCAGGGATGCTCCCAGGATGCTGTGCCCAGGGCTGGGATGCTCCCAGGATGGTGTGCCCAGGGCTGGGATGCTCCCGGGATGCTGTGCCCAGGGATGCTCCCAGGATGCTGTGCCCAGGGCTGGGATGCTCCCAGGATGGTGTGCCCAGGGCTGGGGGCTCCCAGGATGCTGTGCCCAGGGCTGGGGGCTCCCACAGCTCTGGTACTGTGCGGGGGCAGGGGGGATGAGCCCCCAGCACAGGGAGGGGGATGCTGTGAGACCACAGTGCCACTTCCCAAGTGCTTTCCAAACATTCACAGATGTCCCTGTCCCTTAAGAAGGATCAGCATTAGGGATGTTAAGGCAGAAGCAGGGAAACTGAGGCACGGAGAGGGCACACAGGTGAGACAGACTCCCTGTGGCTGTCAGCATCCTTCCCCTTGTGCTTATCTGATGGGCAAGATTTCGGTGCCTTACCCCATCAGGACCACACACTCAGCCCCACAAGGGCTGCCCTGGGGAACAGGCAGCCCCAGGTGCCACTGCCATCCTGAGCCAGCTGCATGGCAGCCACAGGATGGGGACAAGGGCAGCCCTGCCCCTGCACAGCACTGGCCAAGCTCCAGCCGGGCTCACCTGCCCAGCCTCCCTCAGAGGCAGCATCCCTGCAGCAGCTCAGCACTGGAGCAGCAGGGCTGGCACTCAGGGCTGGCACACTGGGCACAGCTGGCACCTGCCAAGGCAGTCCCCACACACCCAGGGGACACGTGGGAAAAGCCATCAATTGGAACATCAACTGCAGCACCGGGAAGAATTGTCTCCTGACAACCAGAGAAGGTTGTTCAGCTACTGCGCTGTATCATAAATCACACCTCTATGACTTTGCCATCTGTCAGCCAGATTACACGTGTTCAGAGTCCCATGTCAGCATTTAAGTCAGAACACGGCATCTTTTTCCAGAAATAATTATCAGTGCTGAAGGCTCTTGCAGCAATATCCGTCCTCAGCCCTTCTCTCCAAAGCTCTGGACAGCAGAGAGCTGGCGTTCCCAGAAGGGCAGGACAGTCACTGTGGCAAAGCAATGCACAGCCTGGTGTGACATTGCCCCCTAAGCCACTGCTTCAGGCACAGCGAGGGGCAGGGTCTGGCATGGCAAACTCCTTCCTGGCACCAGCCATGGCACCCAGCACCCTGAACAGAGCAGGCAGGGACAGGCAGAGGCAGAGGGACAGTGCTGTCCCCAGCCTGGGGTGTGCTGAGAGCCTGGGAGAGTCCCAGCAGGATGAGCAGAGTACCCAGAGCAGCACCTGCACGCCAGCCTGGCCACGGGGAAGGGTCCAGCTAAGCCCAGGGCACAGCTCCCAGTGTGTGACACAGCCCACATCCATCCCTTCACCCCACGGGTTTCCTGGGAGTCCGACCCCACAGGAGTGACTGCCAAAGCCCCCAGCCTGCCGAGGCACTGGGGAAGGCAGGCAGGGCACGGACATGGAGGGCTGGCAGCCTGTCCCCATCCTGCCTGCGCCTCCCGCAGCTCGCTGAGCCGGCCCCAGACACGGCACCCAGCGCACAAACCCCTCAGCTGCCCTGGGATGAGGACAAGGGGCTGAAGCAGAGTCCTCCGCCCCCTCGCTGGCCAGGCAGGCGGATGAGCAGTGACATTTCCCAAAGCTCAGTACAGAAATACAGGCACTGGATCCATCTTCCA